ACTCCTGTGAGATGAGGGCAGTATGGTAGGCAATGATGATGGCATTTTGCATGACTTCTATGCATACATATAGTCACTTCTTTATATTAGACATTCCCTTTATGTTTGGCTATCAGACTTTCAAAGAAGTTCTTATCAGATAGGCAAAACAATTATGTACAAACCAGTTATTAACAGCATACTTTTGAATTTTGTCCAATGTTATTACGTTTTATACTGTGACATTTCTGTAGATGGTCTTCTGTAGTAAAATACTACAGGTATTTTACTTAAACTTTTATTGGTCTTCTAATGAATTACTGACACGCTCCTGACTAGTCCGTCCAGCTATTTCAAAGTAACGATATTAGAATCCTCATTTTTCAGTTGTACAGCTACAGTAACCAGACTTTCCATTTTCAAGTGCTTTAGATTAACGTTTGGATGATGGCAATGTTGCTCAGATGGACACTGACAAATACATGAGAAATGTACATGCTAATTTTAGGTTCCTGCTTCAGGATCAGCTTTCACAGGTTTCAGTGGCAGCAGTGGAATAATCACTGCTGTAGCAGGATTATCAAGCTGAATAACTAGGAAAATCACCATATAATTACTATCCACTCATGAAACATTAAGAGCATCACTGTCTGGAGCAAGAGACAGAAACAAAATACAGTTTCACGTGACAGTGCCCGGCTGCCTTCATCACACAGCCATCGTTTTGTAATCACTCATGCACGATTTTTCTTCCTCTTATGCTTCCTGTGTGACCTTTGCTTAATTCACTGCAGAAGTTACTGCATCATTCTGATTTATTTTTAGAGATAGTCCATGAAGCAGGAGTTATTGTGTGGAGATATAGCATGAAGTATTACATGTACACAGGTCAAACAAAGGTTACCAATCTATCCTGATTTCTAATCACCAAGCTTGCAAAAATGAATAATGCTCTTTGATAAGGGCAATACCCTAGACTATTAAGAAGGGGAAAGTAAACTTTCTTCAACATTTCATAACATGACATTATACTACATCACTTTGGTGCTAGAGAGAATGGAGTGATTTCCATAGCAGTGTCTTCTTAATAGAGATATATAACGCATCAGGAGGTGACATTTTGTGGTGAATCAGTATACAAGAAAATCTTGAGTTCCTCTTTCTACTCAAACACTTGTGTCTGTTTCAGCCTGGCCTCTTACCACACTTCTATTTTCCTTATCTCATCACTACCTCCTTCCCATACTCTCATCAACTCCTTTCACCATAGGGTCCTAGTTCTGGTCTCATCATCATCTTCAGGCAGAAGGTGTGCACCAGCACTGCACTTAATACTCCAGATGGTTAAACTACTGAAGAGTTGTGATAAACGGGTAAGATAGCACTACCTAAGTTACAAACCTAAGTATTGTTAATGGTGAGAGCAAAGTTACTCATATAGTGGTTCCAGTACACCAACCTTTACAAATAATGCCATTTAAACTTTACACCTTGAATTTGTCACTGCACAGCCCTTGGAAATTGAAGGTTAGAGGAAATACTCCTCTGGAAAATTCATCTCCAATTTCCATAAAAGATGGGCCAAACTCTTCTCAGTGGTGGACAGGGATAGGACAAGGGATAATGGGTATAAATTAACACACAGAAAGTTCCATCTGCATGTGAGAAAGAACTTCTTTACTATGAGTGACAGAGCCCTGGAACAGGCTGCCCAGGGAGGTAGGGGAATCTCCTTCTCTGGAGGTCTTCCAAACCCGCCTGGATGCCGCCCTGTGCCCCATGCTCTGGGTGTCCCTGCTTAAACAGGGGGTTGGACTAGATGATCTCTAGAGGTCCCTTCCAGCCTCAACCATTCTGTCATTCTGATTTTGCTTATTAGACACGGGAAAACAAGCAATGCAGTTTTTTCTTGCCATAGAGAAGCCAGATAGACTGATACCCAACTTAAACCAAAGGCAAACTAATAAAAAAAAAGTTGTGCTGTTTTTGAGCTTTTTCTAAAGGCTGAAGGCTGCACTGTCTTATTTAAACATCTAGAAGAGGTCTTGCATTTGTAAGAAATTATGTGAACAGGAGTGCAACCCTGCATCAAGACCTTAAATCATCCCAAATTCTCTGGAGATGTCTTTCCTGCATTTGGAAATCTAACTATTCCAAATGCATTCTATCAAACACCAAAGACCCTGGCCTTGCAAACAGCTATCACATGTGCATGAAACACAAAAGGGCTAATAAGCTGCAAACAGATTTAAATAAGTTCTCTTCCTTGTTTTGTAGAGAGGATTGAGGAAGAATCAAAAAAAAAAAAAAAAAAAAAAAAGTGAGGGAAAGAGAGGAAAGAGGAGAGGGAAGGGAAACTGTAGGCACAAGCAGAAATAGAAGATGGTTCAGGTAGGGGCATAAAGCACACAGATAAACATATGGCTAAAACATTGACAAATGAAACATTTTTCCCATGAGGAACCTATCAAATTCCTTTTGCCATTCACTTTAAATAGTTTTAGATACTAAGTAACCTCTATTTTCTTAAGGCTTGATAGGTGAATTACTAGAGGGTCTATCACTTAGAAGACACAGTTAAGAACAGAGAAGTTTTTGCTCCCAGAAAACTAACCAAAGCAGATCTGAAGGTAGATACTTGCCCTGTGGTCAGGGCAGCAATTGGAGAGATGTGGCAGGACCCAAAGCAGCTTGGGTTATATGTCCAAGCAATCCACCACCTTCCCAAGGGGAATTCATCACTTCCCCTGCAGATGCACATCCTAACCACAGATTCAGTGCTCTCCACTCCCAAATTTGAGAGAGAAATTGACTTCTCCCTCATTCCACCCCAGTGTTACCAGTTGATACTGGTGTGCTGACAAAATCCGTGGTATATTCCAATAGCAGCTTAATAAGCTGCTTTTCCACTACCTGCTTATTTTTGTTTGCTTTTGGTTCCTTTTTCAAGGAAGGAAAGGAATTGATATAATTCTAATGGAAGAGATAATTTTCATATGAAAAGATTTAATGAGGACTTTCGAGGGAGAGGGTAAAGCAAACAGCAAGTATTTGAGTGTAATTTTAGCTGTTCACTGATAAGCTCTAAGTAGACATGGACTGAAGGGAAACAGACAGGTCAGGTAAGAGTAAATTTTGCTCTTAGATTTGCTCCTATTCCTAAAGATTTTGGAGCCTCTGGGAGTTGTAGATATACACATTTATATATATGTATATATTTAAGTCTTCATAACAGAACTTCCAGTGGTCCACAAACAACAAATTCAAATTTTGGGCATTTGATTTAATACCAGCTAGTCTAAAGAGCTGAGCAATGTTTATTCTCTCGTTCATCCACCGTGAATAAAGTCAGCAGACTTGTTATATGTGACTGCAATTCAGGTTATTGGCTAAAACCCTAGATGGTGGTGAAACTACAAATTGTGCATTAAGTGAGGTGAGAAGTCTCACTAAATAGAAAATAGTTTTGTTGCAGAATAGGGTACTAGTAGGTAGTAGAGATTCCAGGCATGCGTATGCTTTAAAGAGAGGAGTGCAGTCATAGATTAACAAGTTTAAATGAGCCATGTGGTTTCCTTACAAATGTTATAATAYGCTATGTGATGAGCCAATAAACACCTCAAAAGGAACTTGTCATCATTATATTAGAAGACTGATATTCAGACTCTTCATCTACAATTGCATTTTGCACTGTGCTTTGGCATATTTCATCAACAGCTCTTAAATTCTACAGTTGAGATGAATTTATCAGAAATTGTCAACTACAACCTGAATGCACCAATATTTTCCTGGTTTGATATTGAAAACAGTAATGTGAAAAACCTTCACAGAATCCCGGAATGGTTGAGGTTGGAAGGGATCTCTAGAGATCTTCTAGTCCAACCCCCCTGCTCCAGTAGGGACACCCAGAGCACTGGGCACAGGGTGGCACCTTAATTTGTTCAAAGTCCCTAAACTTTTATTCTTCATACCTCCAAGCATTATCTTTAAATATTGGATTAGAACTGACAGATAATACAGATGCACATGAAATCACACTTTGCTCATTTCTTTGCTTAGTTAAAATCTCCTCATCATAATCAGGTTAAYTCTAAATACGCCACTATCACTTTTCCCTCCCCTCATGCTTGCAACCCACATATTATTTGTTTCTCCAGAACATAACAGAACTACCTAGAGTTTTTCCATAGATTTAACTAAGGATCACAATCATAAAAGCAACTGTAAGTGGAAATCTATTATCCCACTATGGACAGCATCCCTTGTAAGCCTTCTGTTAGGTAGTATATTATACACAGGTAATTCCAGAAAGGTTTACTTTATAAACAGCTGAGAGCAAGCTATAGTTCAATACAGAAGGCAGTGCCAGAATTCAACCTTATGCTCTTACTCACAAACTACCCTTTGGAATATCAACTATTTGGTTAAACTAGTTATCTGAAAATATAATTAAAGTCATGTTTCACCATGCAGTAAAACAACAGTTTTTTTTTGCATAAGAAGTGCTGTTTACAAACGATAATCTTTAAGAAAAATCAGAAAATTACCATTTCTAACAGCACTGCACAGTATCAGCATGAACAACTGAATTCTACCTAAAATGTGGATTTTAAGGCTTCTGGTATGAGCGAGTTCTGTATGCACCTTCCTCAAATATTTACAGCAAGTGTTTATGCAAAGTTTAAAGTATTTCTTATTTTTGGAATTTCAGCTCATTATTCACAATTAACAGTAACTCTCAAAGCAGAAATAGAAGACTATAAGACTCTTATAGCCACTAGTGACCATGGGAGACTGTCTTACACTTAAATTCTACCAAAAGCTAACTGCAGTGAAGAGCTGCAAAACAACACTGAAAAATCACAGGCATTATAGCTTTAAAATAAATAAATAAATATTCTATGCCTGAAGTTTATCAGCTACCTGCTTTGCAATCTGTTAGTAAAAAAAAAAAAAAAAAAAAAAAAAAAAAAGGAAAAACACAAAAACACACATGCAAAGAAGACCCTAGGTGTACTTACCCTTTGCACCGATAAGCAGGAATACATAGGAGCAGCCGTGAGGTGTCATTTCTGCCTTGTCAGTGGCTGAGGTCGGTAGAAGCTGCCGCGGAAATCCCGCTGCGCGCTCTGCTGCCGAGGCTCCTCACAGGCTGCCCGCTCTCCCGCCGCGGCCGGCCCGCACAGACACGCGGACACGCTCCCAAGCGGAGAGGGGCACAAAGTTTGGGGGGAAGGCGCCGCTCTCCCCGGTGGTGTCCGAGCTGCTCCGTCCTGTGCAGGCTAAGGCTGCGCTGCCCCAAGAGTCRCCGATTTCTGATATTTATTTATTTATTTTTCCCAGGCTGCTGTGCTGGGAGAGGGCTGAAGAGAGCAACTTGACACAGGCAAATCCGTTGGAAACAGAACGTTTGCTACAGCTCACTTAAGAGCTGGTGGTTTCTCAAGTACGGGAGAAGTAAAAATGATAAACAGAGTCCTTTTGTAGCAACGCTGTGACTCACTGCAACACAGAAAAATGCAAAAGGTAATTTATTGGGAATAACAGCATGACACTGTTTTTCTCCCCGCCACGTTAAGTACTCTCCATGACAAAAGAAAACAATTTGAAAGTGAAAAAAGGGGGACACTTTATGAGAATAAGGTCTTTCCTACAYCCTCTCCTTATTTAAGTCCTCTTTACTCTTTCCAATAGATCCTGTAGGCATTAGCTAACCATACTCACACAGGGTTATTTTGTTTTTTTCTATAATGTGAAAGTCAGCACCATCAACACGACAAGACTGATTTAAAATGAGTCAATCAGTTGAGTTTAATTTAAGGAAAGGAGCTGAATTTTACATGTCCTCATCATTTCTATGAGAACCTTGCCTGCAAATGGGTATTATGAACTGCCAACCTAGCTAACATAAAAGTAGAGAAAATATAGAAAGGGTTAAATAAAATGATGTTGCCAATGGTCTAAGTAGTTATACTAGTAGTCAGACACTTTAGGGCCAATATYTGAGTTGGAAAGGACTTCCCTAGGTGGGAAGGAATGAAAAAAAAACAATAAAAAAGAACCAAGAATGTAAGGAATAATATAGGAAAAAAAAAAAATCCTTCTTTACTGCAGGGTTTGACAGAACTGATGTTCTAGAGAATTTTTTTTTTCTAACAGCATTCCCCTGCGCCCTTCTGCCTGTGATTGAGTCATCTCCATTTGAGATGTGCCATAATTACACACAWTTTTGAAATATAGTAATTTTACCAGATAATGCAGTGAATCAGACAGCTGTCAAACCCACTACAAAAGCTCCAAATTTTCTGCCACAGAATAAATAGGATAAGGAAAAAGCCAAAGCCTTTATTCTGAGGGAAAATGCAACATGTGCCACCTGCGTGAATTTGCCTAAGTTCTGCCTCTAAAGGGAGTCATTATTTCTAGTTAACACCTTCCTCTCTTTTTCAAGGTCTGTTAGGAAAGATACTGGTTAGTTTTGAGGCAAATACTCACTTTATAGAGAATCCCCCTGAGATTCTCTACTCTGTTTTACACATTCCTAAAAAGAAGACAAAAACCAGCAGCACTTTCCAGACCTTAGAAAGGAACCATAAAGAAAGAGCCTCATTCTATTAGCAAAATTATATTTAAACTAGGAAAACATGGACAATCCCAGACTTTGAACAGCAGAGCAGAAGGATGTGATGAAAGTTCACTTGGTTCAAAACATTTGATAGAACATTAACATCTTTTGAATAAGTTTAGCTTTTTGAAAACATTTTTACTTTTTCTTTGGAGAAGTACTCCATTTTGTTAGACAAGTAGTTAACACTTCCCTCTCACCAAAAAATTAGATAGATATAGAAATCCGGTGTTTTAGAACTCTCTTTTCAGGACAACAGCAGACTTCTTAAGTTAATTCCTTAGAGGGGAAGGAAATAACTCATTAGAAAACATCTTTGACTCAAGCAGCTTGGAGAAGACATTCAGCTTCATTAGGTTGGTCAGTATTGGTTTATATTTCTACTCATACCAACAAAAGCCTTTTCCTTCTAGAAATGAAGTTCCAAAAATATCATTTAAGCTTAGCATGGGTTGTGATGCAGAAGTTTCCTTTATCTCTAAATTCCAAGAGACCAGATAGTTAAAGTGAATTCACTGAAAGAGAGGCGAGGGGGGGAGTTATCTGAATTTTACTCATAATTCCTAGCAATTTGACTTCCTGTCTTCACAGCTCAGTGCTCTTAGTCTAAAGAGCTGGTCCAAAACTGCATAGTTTTATAGCTATAAAAACCTATTTTTCCAATTTATGGAGAAATAAAAGCACCAACACACTAAGACAATATATTGTTACCAGCGCCACAAGCTATCAGAAGACATTAATAAACTCTTTGACTAAATCCAAATAATTGGGGCTATAATTTCACCTGGAAGAGTCACCTCATGTTTCTATTTCAGGGTGTCATAAGTTAAATTTATTTGTGAGCATAAGGCAACACTCAGTGGTAATTATGAAGCATTTTCAGAGCATTGCTAGCAAAATGCCAGCACCTTTTTTTTGGTAATTCATATTAGCTGCAACATACAAGCAAATTCATAGAAGTAACCAAGTTTTACTTGTGTATTTGTGTATTATTGAAGTATTGAAGTATTGTGTATATTGAAGTACCAATTGTGTATTATTGAAGTACCAATTGTACTTGTGTGTTTTACTYGTGTATACAAGTTTTACTATTGTAAGTTACTATGCTGTTACTACATAATGCTAATTAACAGCATTACATACTAACCCTATCTGGAGATAATTTTGCTCTTTCCCCATCATGAAAATTTCCCTTGGTTGAATTTAGAATAGTTTCAAGGATGCTCTATGCCACATGTATAGATAGGTCCTTACCCACAAGGTAACACTTATGTTGGGGCTGACTTTACAGTTTAAACAGTTGTTCGTTAAGCAAAGGAAATTTTCAGGTGAAAATACTGACTTCGTCATCAGCTGTTTTGTTGTTCAAGGGAAACAAGAAATGCAGAATCAAGCACTGAAAGCAAAACTGGGCCCACACCACCATCCAAATTCTTGAAGAATATGCAAGTTCATATTAAAAAGAAGGAAACTCAAGAAGCATGCATCTTGCTTTCTCAACTATTAGATGAGCAAACTCTAGGTTTTTTATTATAGTAATGTGAATAACTAAGAGATAAGACTTCAGAACACACAGGTTGCATTTTAAATTCTCCATTATGTACATCAACTCTACAATTCAAAAGACTTAACTGTGCAAATAAACTTAATTGGCTTAATTATAATTACTTCACATTACTTTGAAGTTCCATCAGCATGCTTTACAGCAGTGCTATTRAGAAAGAGACATTTACACTTTACAGGGTGACCATTACATTTGAAAGATTATATTCCTTATTTAACACCTACTTCCAGGTTCCCTGACTCCTAAACAGTTAAACTAAAGCACATCTTAAGAAAAACACCACAATATCCAAATAGCACAAGCACAACCAGCTAGGAAAAGACCTTACCTAAAGCAACTCCTTCCAAATAGTAAGCAGTAGAACCATACTTCTATCTATTGCAGATACCAGTGATTCAATCAGCATTATAAAAACATAATCTTTCTGGAAAGATAACTCTTTTCCTATTGCAGAAGGGCAAGGAGTAAGATTTACCTTAGTAAAAGTGATATCTCTCAAAATGCCAAGGATCTTCACCACAACGTCTCCTGGCTCCTTTGTGAGCAGACCCACAGCTGAGCTGAAACCATTGGTAGAGGCTTCGGCAGGAAGGGTTTTCCTCAGCTGGAGAAACCACCTGCTCTCCAAGGGCTCCTCCTAAAGAGGCTTGTTACTGGGATAGTATGGACATTTTTRTGAATCACCAAATGTTCTGCTGACCCTATTTTAAGCCAAAGCAGGTGCACAAAATTAGGCTATGACACTGTAGCAGAAAGCAAGGGAAGAGCAAGAGTAGCTTGAGACAACAAAGAGGTTATTTACAGAAAAAGATTACACATAATTAACCTGCTCTCCCTCCACTTCTAGTGCTTTGTTTGAAGATTTTAATGATTGTTCTATGACTGTATAAAATTATGGGCAATATATTAATGACTTTGTTAAATAAGATTTGGGATCTCAKAGGAATTTTATATGACATCCTGCTTTCTCCATGTGACTCACATATTCTCTGTTTTATCTAGGGAATTGMAAAGTTTTTGTTCTTTCTACAGCACCTAAGTTTTTAGATGGAAAGGGAAACTTGCCTGATATTAACAGGTGAATATATAAAATTSTAAGAAGTAAAGTTTATAAAATGTTTGCTAACAAAGAAACATTAAACATATTGAAAGTTAAGCCATACTTGCACAGAATGAGTCCTAAAAACCTGCAGTTTAGAACATTTTGAGGAGTCAAAAGTAGGCATTTCTGTGACTCAACTAAAGYCTGAGAAACCGTCTATTAAGAGATTGTCAAAGATAACTTTAAAGTTGGAGAGAAGYATATGTATGTTATTGGAGCAATCTCTTTGATTAAAGTAGAATTTCTGCAGAGAAAATATGACATGTAAGTCATGAGCGAGAAAGGCATTGCCTCCCTAGACTTATGGGAAAAAAAAAGTCCAACTTAAAAGTGACTTCAGTATTGTCAATTTATGTGCCTGTTTAAATTTTTGCTGAAGTAAATACCCGTCTACCTCTAAAATTATGATTTGTATATTACTTCTCTCAAGGAACAGGGCAAAAAAAAAAAAAAAAAAGAAAAAAAGAGAATTTCTATAATATAATTCTCTTTGAAAATGACTTCCATGTGACTTTTTCTTACAATATGTTTTAGAGCCTAGACAAGGTTATTTCATCCATGCATGTACATGTAATTCATGCTAAAGGAAACTGTTTTATAGCATATATCATGGGAGAGGAGTAGAACCAATGCACCATAAATTCCAATTTTACTTCTGCATTCCAAGCCTAGAGTTCAGACCTCATAATGAACATCTTTTTCTCCTCTATTTCTCTGCATACGTTCTCTTCTATCCATGTTTTTTATTTTCAGTGTCCTTTGGATGACTCATCAAACTGAATTTTCAGTCTCTGGAAGACTTTCTGCATTTTTCACTCTCTACTTGCAGGAGAGTGGCAAGGGCAGAAGACCAAGGATCCTTCTCTCTTCCCTCCGCTCAACTCAGCACCAGAACTAGAATAAATTGTTCTCTTAAAACAAGAAATGACAGAGGACCTTCCTGCATTGTACAAAAGGCCTAGTCTAATTGACAGTTCTGTAAAAAAAATAGCACARTTTTTACTGGACACATAAGACAATGTGTTGACCAAGTAGAAAATAATGAATATAATCTGAATATTCTTCCAGTATAAGACTGTTRTCTCCTCACTGTACTGAACTATACTTTTCAACAACCCTATACACCTGAGACTTCAGTGATAGTCCCTGGCATAAACTGAATTGAAGAAATGTTTAATGGAGATTCAAGAAAGCAAACAGCCAATTGGACATGCAGTATAAACACACCCTGAAGAGGAAAAAATGAACAAAACCAAAATCCAGACAAAATTTACAGGAAAAAAAAAGGAAGTAAGAGAGGAAGAAAGAGTATGAGGAAGCAAGGTGTTTTATAGGGCAAATATATAATGTGAGAAGACWCTCTCAAGCCTGAGAATCACTTAAAATGAAGACTGGACATGAGAGATTTATCTGTAGGGCTAGCCATGCCTCCAGTTTGTCACTGCAATGTTTTGAAGAAAAGAAACTCTCTAAAATGAACCCAGCCTTTTGTGAAGTAGATATGATTTCTAATCTAACAGCTTTTACATAATGCCTTAATTTACAATTCTAATTTGTATTTCTGTAACAGTCCAGCCTGCAGAAAACAGCACAAGGAGGGCAGGAGGAATAGGGTACTGTTCAGAAATTCAAAAATCCCAAGGTTATTACTATATAATTACCAGTCATCATTAAAAATACCATTTTCCTACTCTTACTASTAATCCAAGACCTAAATTCACTGAGGTTTTTACTTCATTCATAGATGGATATACTTTTGATACACTCACCAAAGAAAATATACAATTTATCTGCCTCTAATACTGCAGTTTTTGAGATGCACAAAATGAGAAATGCTTGACAGAGATAAGAAAGATGTTGGGTTTTGGAACAACTGTTATGCTGATAGCCTGTGGTGAAGGAGCTTACATTAGCCGCATTTTTTTTTAGGTAAGCTTTTCATCCCTTCTTCCAAGTAAATTGTGCATGAAGAAAAATCTATATTTCCATGAGCTGCCCAAGCCAACATGAGGTATTGATTTCAGTATTAATCATACATTTTCCAAAGCACTGTGCATGACACAGGTGGAGAAAACATTTTCAAAGTAATCATGCAAAATGCATGCTTAATCATAGGAAGCTGTGATTTCCATCTCTTCTTATTTTGAAAAAAGTAACAAACTTCTAGATTCGCCAGACTATGAGTTAGAGTTTTACAAAATCAAGGAAAAATATYTGCTATTTTCTCTAAGTGTTTGGATGACAAATATGATAGATTTTTCTCCTAATTGATGTTTATTTTCTAATTATGTTCTAATGTTCTTTTACTAATAAGAATATAAAACATAACCTTAGTGTGTAGTCAAATAACTAGAAACAGTGCTGTTTTTGTCTTTACTCGGGGATGATTTCTATGCTAATTCTAATCCCTTATAAAGTATCCCTTATAAAACAAAAATCCCAGGCAAGTGCTTCAACCTCCAGCACGAACCTCCACCTAATGGCATGCAGCATCTTTCGCTCTGTCTGCCTCAGTGGGATTATTTTGTAGAAAAATAGTTCATTCTCTTGCCCATTGATGCCTGGCCAGGGCACTTCTAGGGAACTGCACATTATAAATCAGGTTCCTCTTAGGCAAARGAGAGAATTGCACAAGGTCCTCTGCATCTCAAAAGCTTAAAATGTTGGGGTACAACATGCACACATGCTTCGTATGGGGACTGACTCTTCTTCGCCATATAAGCATGCTCTGTGATTAAGTTTTCAAAGGGTTGAGGCCGATGGATGTCTAGCTTCTTGAGCCTAMTAAAAATAAACACCTCCTAACCTGGTTACTACTGAGTCTGCCGTGAAGCAAAACTTGCAGACGCTTGAACCTGAAGATAATAAACCGTGGCCCAAGYGAACTTGAAGCAGCAATGCAACAGGGTGCTTTCCCAGTGGAATTAATTGCATCGGTGCTGTGTGACTGTCATSATCTGAGGTCGTTTTTAGCTCTAGTCCTGTGGCTTGCTTAAAAGATGTACTATATTTCCATAGGTTTTGATCTACATGCTTTTTGATGATGTGGATTTCTACTTGCCAACTTTTATCTTCAAATCTCTGAGGAAATAAATACAGAATGACAGCTATTACTTTTTTTTTTTTTTTAATTTTTTTTCCAATTACCTCTCAGTTTAAAGTAAAAAAATAGRAACTGGTGGATATGACTTTAGGAAGCAATGGTTACTGTATTGTGATCGATACATACGTTATTCAAGCATAACTTAAATGCCCTAGTAGTTAAGTTGGCTTCTCACAGATCTGTATTTCTGTATCTTTTTTTATTATAAAAGATGAATCAAGAACTGYGTTCAGGATTACTTTCAGTGGAAATGACTGAATTCTAATAACACTGAATAAAAATCCACAGCTCTAGGCAGAAGGCAGTGATTTTAGGAACCATGCACACTGAGCCCAACTAGAGGTATACTGATATCCCAGAACAAGGAGGGAAATTCACATTTTTTTTCTTACGGAAATATTTATAACACCTGAACTGAAAAATGTGAGATTCTGCGTAGACATCTTGATTTCAAAATAACAAAACTACATTTGAATAATGCTGTAGTCTGTAACAGTTACACTTTGGAGTATAAAATGGCAAGTACTAGGTATGTGTTCCCATGGTTGCAGAACTAACRAAACTTGACTGATGTAATGCTGTCTTAAATGAGTCTATATAATTTATAGCTGCACCCTTGGCTGTTGTGTAGGTGTACTGTCTGCTTCGTGTCAACTTTTTCTAGAGGTTTTCTTCAGGTGGATTTGGATTACAGAAGGTCATTACATAGCACAGGCTCTTCTCTAAATCTGTTTTTAAAAAAAGATTTTTTTTGCTTTAAAAAGTTTTGTGTTTGACAGAAGACTTCCACTTAACTCAGTTCGCGTGGTTTTAGCCAAATGCTTTCACTCACTTTTAAAATGTGGTAATGCAGCAGCAATGACATGGAGTTCTTTTTCTGAGTCAACACACAAGGTCCTGAAGAGATCTGGCAGGTCCGTAAATATGCAATATTAGAATAAAAGTGTAAACTATTCTAGCATGGGACAAAGTAATAAAAACATCAGTTGGTTTTAATCAGTAACTTTTCATTGTTCCCTAACACAAGAAGGACTTCTATAGGAAATGAAATTAAGTGAGATTGCTAAAGAAGAGTACAGCAGTATAGAATGGATAGGTGAGATGAGCAAAATCAGAATAACAAAAAGGACAAAATGAGATGCAGGTAGTAATATACATCAAAAACATCAAGCAATTTTGGGGTGCACAAAAAAAAACCAGACTTTGGATTTTACTTGATGATAAAAATATTGTGAAGGCTACAGAGTTCAATGTTCTTTATGTGGAAGCTTTTACTCAAAAATTCAGGATGATCAATCAGCCAATCTCTTATGAGCAATGAAAAAGGGGCACTTTTAAGTGCTCTGAACTTCTGGAGGAGACAATTAGAGAGGTTAATGGTTATTTTTGCAAACTGGCAAG